ACATTGAGTGTAGCACATTTATACTAGAGCGTTCAAAACATTTAAAAGAAAAAGGGTCCATACATAAAAAGAATTGTGCACATGTAGTAATGAGAAGATATACAACTTACAAGAGGATAAGGAAAGAGATACTAAAACTAAACATATGTATACTCTATGACCCACATATCCATTCCTGGATAAATACCTAAGAAACAAAGCATGTGGAAAAATCATGTACATGAATGTTCATAGCAGCTAAACTATGTGCTATGCATATACCTGACACATAATACATGCTCAGCAAATGTATAAAATTGAATTGAACACATTTTTATATTCTATGTGTGGCTTTGGAGGCCAAGTGACACACAGTTGTGTCATCATTCCACATTTTACCATTTATTAGCAATTACCATTTTAATCTATTATTACTTTAATAAACATTAAATTGAGGTCTTTAGGAGTCATTTACTCAAGCTTAATATAACCATGAAGAAGGACCCATTAAAAAAAGCACAATGTTATTAGAAAATGCATTATTGAAATGAATTCTCAGGTGCTTAACTTACTGCTTTAGCTCTCAGAACTGCTCTGATACTGAGTCTCACTTTAAAAGTATTTTCTTGCAAAGGGATTGGCTTTGGTCAGCCCCAAATCTGGTAGCAGTGAAATTCAAAGTTAATGATTTAGAACAGTTCAATGGAATGCTCTGTGATGATGGCAGTGTTCTATGTCTGTACCTGTGTTGTCCAATATGGCAGCCACTAGTCATAGGTGGCTATTGAACACTTGAAAGAGCAGCAGGTGATGACAAAATATGTCAAACAAAGTTCAGTAAGTCCTACTATTTCATGCAACTGGAATAAACAGAAAATATCTGCAATTAAATGGCCCCAAATATTCCTGAAAGTTTACCCTCAGTCATTTTAGGTTATTTAATATTTTCTTTTGAAACTCCTAAAATAGCCACAGGCTCAAATTTTAAGCCTCAACATGTCTGCAGGTTTAGAAAAATAGCACGTCTTTTAAGCCAAAGATTTAAACTCAAACAACAAAAAACTAGTGGTTTTAGGTTTTATTTTTTTCTTTTTGATTAGAGCACAACTGGACACAAAATTAGTTAGATCTTTTTCTTGCTGTTTTGACAATGGCTATTGTCTAGCCTTTTCTCTTACTGGTCTATGTTAATGCATTTGTAAGTTTTCAGGCTAACTACCTGGTTGACAGAGTTCAGTGTGAATAGCAGTCACCAGGAAAAGAGGTCACAACATTCTTCAGAGTGGAAAACAAAAGGCAAACAGAAATGGGGGGGATTCACCCTGCACTTAAAGCTACCTTAGCCATTCTATTACGCAAATAAAATATTTGAAACCAAAACCAGGGCTCCACCACCTAAAAGGTTTAATGATTAACACCCATCATTTGGACAAATATTTTCACGGAAGTCGCTCATTTCCTGTCAGTTGTTTATGGAAATCTACAGTTTAGCTGGTTTTTTCCAGACTACTTCAAAAGAATGTTTCCTCTGCTGATCAAAGTTGAAATCCTTCTCCACCCCTTCTGTTATTGTTGGTTAAGTGCATGGTGAAAAGAATTGAGCCCTGTCTAGAGGTTTTCTTGGCATGAATTTGCCCCCTTTTCAGGGCTAAAATACCTGATTCACAGATAGGCTATCTTAATTTGAAAAACAAGCGTGACTCCTTTCTATCTCTGGTAAACAAAACATACCCTTCCACAGATAGCTTCACCTGACTCTCACCACAGCAGGTGAGCATCCCAGGAGAGCTTCTACTTCAAAGGGAATGGATTTGTTCAGCCCTAAGGTCTGGCACTGGTGTAAAAACAATGTTCATTATATAGAGCAGCACTGTCCCACGAGACATTCTGTGATGATGGGAATGTTCTGTATCTGTGCTGTCCAATATGGCAGCCACTAGACATAAGTGGCTATTGAGCACTCCAAATGGGGCTAGTGCTGCTGAGAAACTGAATTTTTTGTTTCAATAGGCACATTGGTCAGGGCAGAAGTATAACAGTAATGAAGAACTCCCTGCTCTGAACTAGGTTCACTGGGTTATTTCTCTAATCCTCTAAACAACCCTTCACAGTTGTTGTTTTATGGTCATCTCACATGGGAGGGAACTGAGGCTCCAGTGTTGAAGTCACTGGCGGTAACGAGAGGAGTGGAATGGGTGTCATTTTGCCAGCTGACCTGCATTTGAACACTGTCTCTACCACACCGGACCGCTCTGCATCTCTGGTCCTCATGGGTCAAAACTAAAATTACAACAAAACCTCAGAGGTGTCTGAGGAGTAAGATAATGAGTGTAAAAGAATCTTTTCCCTGATGGGCATTCCACAGATGCCCATAGATGTCTCCCAGAGGGTCAGTGTTGGGGTTTTCCTCTCTATCATGGTGCCTCTTCATGAATTCAGTCACCAGATTCTGCCTTATTCCTTGAAAGTCATGAGTGACAGAATTAGATTGGTTGACCCTGGTGTTAAATAGCAACACGGAAGAAAATATCAACAATCACACTTATGCAGCACTTTGAGAGACACATCATTTCCCCTCTCCTAGCAAGGATGGTATTTTATTGTATAGAACCCCTTACTGTTAGCTAAATCCCCCTGAGGAAGCATTTTCTCATCTTCTTCACCTTGGTTGCAAGGACAGTGAGTCAGGAAAAGTCATACTAGAGGGAGAAGCAGCCAAAAGTTAGGCCAGACATTCTAGCAGTTTCACTGTTAGGTGCGATGGAAATTTCCAGAAGGAAGAGCTCACTTAACTCACCCCTGAGAAAATTTTCAGAGTAGATGAAGTCCTCTTGAGAAATGTTAGACTAGAAAAGGTCATCATGGGAAGAAAAGGTCAATACACTTAGAGATAGGGATGGAAACAAAGTATTTTATTTGCATCAAGAAACAAAGCCTTGTTAGGAGTTTAGAAATCTAAGTTAGCATTCTTTTAGCCTTAACCTTCCTAAAAGTATCAAATCTCTCTCTCTTGTTTTGATTTAGTCTTTTGGTCTTTTTTATTTTTTGTAGAGACAAAGTCTTGCTTTGTTGTTTAGGTTGGTTTCGAACTCCTGAGCTCAAGTGATCCTCTCGTCTTGGCCTTCCAAAGTGCTGGGATTACATGTGTGAGCCACTGTACCTGACCGATTTAGTCTTTTGAATTATTTCTCAATGTTTGTTGTGCCATCTTTTTTAAAAGAGCAATATAAATTCTTTATAGAAAATACAGAGAAGAAAAAAGTAAAAGTAACCTGTAATTCTCCCAGCATCAATGAATGACAGGTGTTAATGTTTTCCAGATACTTGGAACATACCTTTCTAAGCCTTGTGTTTTCTTTTGTGCATGTGGGTAAACACAGATACAATTCTTCTTAAAAACAAAACTGGAATCATACTATTATACAACATAGTCATCTTTCTTGAACTTAGTGTTATTTTGAATGTATTCCCACATCAATAAATATTTCTCTATAATATAGTTTGTAATGGTTATCTAATATTGCATTTATTTCTTTTATATATGCTTTTAAATTTAATTTTTTTTTTTTGAGTTGGGGTCTCACTCTGTCGCCCAGGTTGGAGTGCAGGAGCACAATCACAGCTCACCGCAGCCTCAACCTCCTGGGATGATCACGACTCACTGCAGCCTGAACCTCCGGGGCTCAGGCAATCCTTCCGTCTCAGCCTCCTGAGATTTGCCTGGGATGTGCCTGGGATTACAGGCACATCCACCACGCCTGGCTAATTTTTTAAATTTGTAGAGATGAGGTCTCGCTATGTTAATCAGGCTGGTCTCAAACTCCTGGACTCAAGCAATCCACCCACCTCAGCCTCCCAATTATTCATTCCTATGAATGTCTTTGTTATAAATTTAAATTTTGGAGTCAAAGGGTATTCAAAAATCTATTGTCTTAATACATGTTAATTTTATCTCAAAAGAGTTAATGTCTGCATACATATTTTTTGCAGTATATGCATGTTCATTTTCCAGAATCCGTTTCCTATTTCATCAGATATTACTGGTTCTTTTTTTTTTTTTTTTGAGTTGAAGTCTCACTGTCGCCCAGACTGGAGTGCAGTGGCCGCTCTCGGCCACCGCAGCCTCGACCTGCTGGGCTCCAGCGATCCTTCCGCCTCAGCCTTCCAAGTAGCCGGAATTATAGGCATGCACTACCATGCCTGGCTGATTTTTTGATTTATTGTAGAGATGAGGTCTCGCTGCCCAGGGGGGGTCTCGAACCCATGGGCTCAGGCGATCCACTCACCTCAGCCTCCCAAAGGCGTGGGATTACAGGCTGAGCCACCGAGCCCGGTTTTCTTTTTCTTTTTGAGTAGTAGTCTCACTCTGTGCCCAGGCTGGAGTGCAGTGGCACACTCACAGCCATCACAGCCTCGATCTGCTGGGCTCAGGTGATACTTCCACCTCAGCCTTCCAAGTAGCTGGAACCACAGGCATGTACCACCATGCCCAGTTAATTTTTTTTTGTTAATTTATTGTAGAGTTGAGGACTCGCCAAGTTACCCAACTGGTCTCGAACCCCTGGACTCAGACGATCCTCTTGCCTCCGTCCCCCAAAGTGCTGGGATTATAGGCGTAAGCTACCACAGCTGGCTATTATTGGTTCTTATAACACTTTTTGCAAAACAGTGATACAGAAGTCTTTAAATATTCCTTTGATGAGCAATTCTTAGTTTCATAGTAAGCCTGAACATTTTTATTTGTTGAATGGCCATTTGTATTTGTTTTTATAAATTGCTTATTTGATCCTTTGCCTTTTTTTCTACTAAAGTGTTCATTGTTCTCAATTTTTTTGCATGAATTTGTGAGTACACAGATATTCTTGCCTGTTGTTAGTTCTCCCTTTCAATTTGATATATGATTATTTTTCCAGAAAGCAATCCCATATTTCATGTCATCTATACATACTTTTAAGTTTCTCTCCTACTTCTCAGCAGAAGTACCTGACTGTTGATGCATTGTTGTTATTTTGTCTCATTGTAGTGGCACTATCAGAACATGGTGACATAATTGTGGAATAACATAGACACTTGTCTTTTTTACTCACATGGAAATGTTTCTACTCCACAAAATCTGGTGAGTCACTGTTAAATATGTTGTGTTTTGTGAGAAAAAAGTCCTTTTATTCCTGGTTTACTAAAAATTCTTTTTATCAACAGGTGATTTGGAAATTTAACTAGATTTATTTTTATTAGAAGAATAATGTGTGTGTTTCTTTTCAGGGTCCTAATTCTTGAAGGTTATTTTTTTCACTTTATTATCACCTTGAATATGCCATAGAAATACTTCTAGCATTTTCTATGTTTTGTAATACTTTTAAAAGTATAATATTTTATAAAAATCATTTATTGATTAAAAAGCATACAAACTTTATAGGTAAATAATCTGGACTGTGTTTATTTGGGGCGAGGAGTTTTTCTAAACCTTTTTATTTCTTCCATTGTCACTTATATCAGATTTCATTATTCTTTCTAAATCCATTTAGACATTTTATAATTTCTAAGAAAATGACAATTCATTCAGATTTTTCAGTATTCTCAGAAGCACTGTAGAATATTTCCCATAAAGTACCTATATTTGTTGCTATGTTCTCCTTATATTTGCTAGTGAATACATTAATTTTTTTTTCTCCTTTTCTATTAGACTTGCCAGATTTTTTGCTCGTTTTCAATGTATTTTTTTCAAGGAACATGCTCTTAGATTAATTTTCTTTTTTTTCCTTTTTTTTCTTCCTTTATTTTAAAGATGTGGGATACAATTCAGGGTTAGGTATACAAATGTTCGATTATGCAGGTACTCTTGTTGATGAGGTGTACCTGTCCCTCTCCTAGCAGTTTCCCTCAACTGCCAAGGATTAATTTTCACTTCTATTTTTCTCTGTTGTCTGATTTATCAATCTTAGTTACTATTAAGTCATTTAATTTTAGTCTTAGTTATTATTATTATTATTATTATTTTGAGTTGGAGTCTCACTCTGTCACCCAGACTCGATCTGCTGGGGCTCCGGCGATCCTTCTGCCTCAGCCTTCCAAGTAGCTGGAACTACAGGCGCGTGCTACCACGCCCGGCTAATTTTTTAATTTATTGTAGAGATGAGGTCTCGCCAAGTTGCCCAGGTGGGTCTTGAACCCGCGGGCTCAGGCAATCCACTCACCTCAGCCTCCCAAAGGCACGGAATTACAGGCTGAGCCACCGAGTCCAGCTAGTCTTAGCTATTAATGATAGTACTTGTAGCTATCAGTTTTCCTCTGAGTACACATAAAATAAGGCATATAGATATACAGTGATCTCATTATTGTTAATTTTCAGAAGTCTATAATTATAATTTTTCTATAATCCAATTATTACTTGAAGTATTTTCTAAATTTCTAAGTTCTTTGCAGATTTAACTATAAACATATGCATATTTCAAATAGCATTCTTATTAATCTCATGTACATTAATGCTTTTTAATATTAGAATTTATAAGAGGAAGTCTGTGTAGTTTACTTATTAATATCCAAATATATTTTATAAGTAACTTCAAATAAGCATCTGACAATATTCTTTATAAAAGAATTATGAAGGAATACTGCACTGTTAAGGAAATTTCTGTTTTTACAATAAAAGCATTATCTGTAACTTTCATATTATTTGAAAGCAGATCTGTCATACTATTAAAGGGTATGAAATGGAAACTTTCTTAAAGTAATAAGATTTTTATATCAGGAGTGCTCATGCGATAAAGTGCTCATAAGGTTAGATTTGTTTGACAGTAACAAAAGAAATTTCTAAATGTGACCCAAAGTGGCAAGAGTCAAAATAATGACTTTTATAGGTCCTGTCAAATGAATAAAAAGACAAAAGCTCAAATGACAAGTGTGAGACACTGCCATCAGCTTGACTTCAAATATGAAGATTCCACAAGTGACGTGTCACATAGAAGATACTAAAAATGAGTTTATTATTAAGTAGCTTGATAAAGATCTCCATAAAATAAATATAAAACAACTAGAGTAGGATTCTGGCCTCTCAACATACTATCTTTGTTTTAAAATGGAGCATTTGTCTTGATGGACAAGTTGTAAGTAGTAAACTTCCAGAGGCTTCATATCTGTGTAAATTGCTTCATAAACTGCTCGTTTCAGCAGTTTCACATATGGGAGCTTGATAACTTATTAGTAACCATGGTAATGATGACAGATAAAGCAGTTTCAGTCATTCTGAATATGTTACTATTTACTTCCAAATGTTGAGAGTTTAGAGAGTGTAGATTAAAAGTTCAGATTACTGTTGCCATGAGCCACACAAAAGGGCACCAAGTCTCCGGAGACAGGAAAAAGAAATTGATTTCTCCATGTTTTTTATCCTCCACAACACTATTGAGAAGCAGTTTCTGGGCACATAACTACTGATCTACTGCCTGGGGTAAATAAAATATGAGATCACATAAAAAGAAAACATTTGTGATGTTCCTTTGATTCGTGGAAGATGCCTTCTAAAGTTCATTAGAGGCCAGATGTGGTGACTCAGACCTGTAATTGCAGCACTTTGGGAGGCTGAGGTGGGAGGATCATTTGAGCTCAGGAGTTTGAGACAGCCTGGACAACATAGCAAGACCTCGTCTCTATAGAAAAATCAAAAAATTAGCTGGGCATGGTGGTGCATACCTATAGTCCCAGCTACTTGGGAAGCTGAGGCAGGAAGATCACTCGAGCCCAGGAGTTTGAGGCTGTGGTGAGTCATGATCATGCCACTGCACTGTAGCCTGTGTTACAGAGTGAGACCCTGGCTCAAAAAAAACAAAACACAAAGTTTGTCAGTCATAAAAGCATGTGGGGATATGTGGGCTCCATTTCCCTGCAATAAGGTAAGAGGTAGGTAGGGTCAGTGTCCCTTTTAAATTTGACCCTAATTATTCTGTATCATTGTCAGAAACAGGAATTTAGTAAACATATAGCACCTAAAATTAGTAAACTGTAAAACCACTTAAAATGTGATAATAATCTATATATTTTATTGGATTTGGGAAATGTATCTGGCTCTATCACATTAAAAGAAATCAAATAAAACCTCTAATGGCAGAATATGAAGATGTTTTATAAAATTAAAAGCCTTGCACTTTTTTCTTTTTTTTTTTAATTGGAGTCTCACTCTGTCACCCAGACTGGAGTGCCGTGACACGCTCCCGGTCACGGCAGCCTCAACCTGCTGGGCTCCGGCGATCCTTCCGCCTCAGCCTTCCAAGTAGCTGGAACTACAGGCGTGCGCTACCATGCCCGGCTAATTTTTTGATTTATTATAAAGACAAGGTCTCGCCAAGTTGCCCGGGTGGGTCTCGAACCCGCGGGCTCAGGAAATCCACTCGCCTCAGCCTCCCAAAGTGCTGAAATTACAGGCTGAGCCACCGAGCCCGGCCCAAAGTTGTACATTTTTAATCAAATGTGATCCTTCATAGTTTAATTGGAATGAAACTGGCATGTCTACATAATAAACAACCTCAAGAGGTTTATAATAATTAGCCCAACATTTTCTGAGTAATTAAGAGGTAACAAAATGGTTCTGCTCTTTTTAAGATATCATCAGGTTATGAAACATATGAATATAAAAGCTTTTGTATAAACCTATTGTTTTTAAACCCAGTGGTTCTTAATCAGGAGTGGTTTTGCCCCGCAGAGGACATTTGGCAATGTCCAGGAGATATTTTTGGTTGTCACAACTGCCGTGGTCAGGGATGGGGGTGCTACTGACAAGTGGGAAGAGACCAAGCAAGTGGCTAAATATCCCTCAAATGATACGGCAGCCCCCATGACAAAGAGTTAGTTATCTGGCCCCCAAAGCCAATGGCGTGGAGGTGGAAGAACCCTGTTTTAGCCTATTAGTGCCACTTTCATTGTGTAGATACTTTTGGATAACGGACCATGTATTCCTTCCTAGTTTTTCTTTTAATTTTTTTTTTCTTTTTTTGAGTTGGAGTCTCACTCTGTCGCCCAGACTGGAGTGCAGTGGCACTCCCGGCCACTGCAGCCTCGACCTGCTGGGCTCTGGCGATTCTTCCGCCTCAGCCTTCCGAGTAACCGGAATTACAAGTGTGCGCTACCATGCCTGGCTGATTTTTGATTTATTGTAGAGATGAGGTCTCGCCAAGTTGCCCAAGCGGGTCTCGAACCCACAGGCTCAGGGAATCCACTCACCTCGGCCTCCCAAGGCACGGGATTACAGGCTGAGCCACCGAGCCCGGCTAGTTTTTCAATATAAGAAATAGCAATATAGAATCTGGCATATTGGAGACAATATTTGGTGCTTATACCTTGAATAATCTGCACCATTACTTTTATTGCTCACTTGTATTGGTAAATAAGTCATATTCTGAGGAAAACCTCCCAACTTTAAGTATAGTGAGTTTTCTTTTTACCTGCTTGGATGACAATGATCAGTTTCAGTCTTGAACTCAGTCTTGGCTGCTGCATAGCAGCTTCTTGTCTCAGCACTGCACAGTCTCCCTTTAAGAGTTCTGAACTTGAGGCAACCCCCTCAGGTCCCCTTCCACTATGGGAGCTTTTCTGCCTTCTTAATAAATCCTACTTTCAAAAAAAAAAAGAGTTCTGAACTTGGACACATCCATCTTTAATTGAAAAGAATGCAAAGAGTTTGCTTTTCACCTTTCACACAGTTTGTTCAGAATGAAGTTTTACTTTGACTTAAGTCTTTTTCTCTTTTATAACTCTGTATTTCTCTGTGGTTAGTACAGCATTTTGATATATTATTCTTCTGAAGTTTCCTTCTGTATATCATCATCATCCTAACTTCTCAATTTACAAATCTCCTCTATTTTTGTTTTCTTTTATTAACTCCCATTGCTTTTGTTTGGGGTTATTTCCATAAAGCCAACCAATAAGAAGGAATAAATTATCAATTCAAGTCTAAAATGATGTTTCTCTAAAAAGTGTTATCTTAAAAAACTTATGAGATACTGGTTAAAGTGTGAGATCAGTGTAATATATATTCAGTAAATATGAGCCCCCCCCCCCAAAAGAATGAAAGTATTTTTTAAAGGGCAGGCCCAGGCTGGGCACAGTGGCTCAAGCCTGTAATTC